TTTGAGTAAATTGTTCTTGTTCGAAATTAAATTTGTAGTATGCCTTTTCACTTACATTATTCTTTGTATTTGAGAGATGTATTGTCTTTTAAACAATATGACTAATCAACTTGTTGGTCAAAATAAATATCAGAAGATAAGATATGGCTCTGAAAAGTTCATCGATTTGCTGGCACAAATAGGCATGTCAGAAGATAAGGCATTATTGTGGCACATTTATCAAATGGCCAAATTGCATATAATATCACGACCTTTATCGAGATTGCAAAATAATCACGACCTTTTAACTTTTGCATACGATATCACATCCTTCAATTCTTTGCAAAACGGTACATACTTTTCGTCTGTTGCCAACTCAAATGCTGATGTGTATTTATTAGGGTATTTTTGTTTCCATCTCATCACTGAAACGACGTCGTTTTGTCGGACGTGTTTAAGTTCGTCTTTTTTTTTTCCACGTCATCCCCAAACGACGTCGTTTTACGCAACAATTTTGCATTTAAATTAAATTGTTGTCTGAAGAACCCTAATTTCCTAAATTGAAGCTGCGACGTGCTCTGCTCTGCTCAGAGGAAGAACTTTAGACGACAATTGCTCAGTTTAGAAGACCACTCCATGTCGACCGGTTCCAATTCATATAGACAGACAAGTTCGGCAACAACATTCCCGAGTTCAGCAAATCCGAAATTAGAATGTAAACATAGGGTTGAGCCCGATCTTCTTACCTCTCATACTAATCTGAATCCGGCTAGGAGGTATTACCGGTGCAAATATCGAATGGTAAGTGATGTATAAATTTATAAAATACCTAACAAATTGAATGAGGATCTTCTTTACAGCATGAAGTTGTCGGCGGACCACAACGAGATTTTGAGATTTCTTTACAATACAATAGAGATTCGATGAGATTTTGTATTCAGAGTGCAGAGAGAAACGGGGAACGAAGATGATTTTAGGGTTTCACAATGAAAATTGATTGCAATTTTTCCTATTTAAATCGGCACTTAAACGAAAACGACGTCGTTTGGAGATGACATAGAAAAAAAAAAAGACGAACTTAAACACGTCCGACAAAACGACGTCGTTCCAGTGATGAGATGGAAAAAAAATAGCCTGATAAATACACATCAGCATTTGAGTTGGCAGCAGACGAAAAGTATGTACCGTTTTGCAAAGAATTGAAGGATGTGATATCGTATGCAAAAATTAAAAGGTCATGATTATTTTGCAATCTCGATAAAGGTCGTGATATTATATGCAATTTTGCCTTTATCAAATTGATAACTCAATAAATGTGTCAGAAAAATAAAGTACGAGTCATGAATGACAGCTATATGCAATAGTTGTCTATAATAATCAATTTGTTAGTCAAAATAAATATGTCAGAAGATAAGATATTACTATCAAAATTTAATCGATTTGTTGGCACAAAAAAACATGTCAAAAGATAAAACATGGGTTGTGGCACGCTTATCAATTTGATGACTCAATTAATATATCAGAAAATAAAGTATGGGTCATGACAACTATATGCAATAATTGTCTATAATAATCAATTTGCTGGTCAAAATCAATATATCAAAAGATAAGATATGGCTATCAAAAGTTAGTCAATTTGAAGGCAAAAATAAACATTTTAGAAGATAAGGTATGGGATGTGGCACGCTTATCAATTTGGTAACTCAATTAATGGTCAATATGCATATACGTTGATGTCTATATATTAAAAGCAAACTCAGATATATTTTTTCATCCTGTAAATCCCAGTTAGACACTTTAAATTCAATTAGAATCCTCCAAAAATGTCCCAAAATTCATAAAGATCCGAGTCTAATTCATCATCATCCACCGACAGTGGAAATGGTGATGACACTAACGATTTAGAAGTTGAAATGATTTCATCAATCTTTCAATGAAGCCACGAGTTACTTCAAGCATATCAACATGATTGAAGTTCGTAGAAGATTAAGGTTCATCCAGTGAAATCATGAAGATGGGCATGAGAGACTTGTAAGTGATTATTTCTCTGACCATCCAGTCTACCCAGATCATATATTTCGTAGACGTTTCCGTATGTGAAAAGAATTATTTCTTCGAATTGTGAATGCACTTCATACACGATCATCATTTTTCCAGTAAAACATTGATGCAGTAGGAAGACAAAGTTGACACCACTTAAAATATGCACAACAGCTATTCGTCAGTTGGCTTGTGGAGTCCCAGCTGACCACGATGAGTATTTACGTATGGATGAGTCAACTGCTATCAAATGTCTTTTCAAATTTTGTGAAAGTGGTTCAAATTTTTGGTGATGTATATTTGAGAAGACCGAACAATAGCGATGTTCAAAGACTCCTCCAAATGCATGGAAAAAATTATGGTTTTTCGGGTATGCTTGAAAGCCTTGATTGTATGCACTGGGAATGGAAAAATTGTCCAGTTGCTTGGAAAGGCCAATTCACAATAGGGTATGGATCTCCTACGATTATCCTTGAAGCGGTTGCTTCACACGATTTGTGGATATGACATGCCTTTTTTGGTGTTCCAAGATCACGTAACGATATCAATTTATTATATGAACCTCTTCTATTTAATAATGTATGGCAGGGAAATGCACCAAACGTTCATTTTACTGTTAATGGCACGCAATATGAAAATGGGTATTATCTTACAGATGCAATATATCCAGAATGGGCTACGTTCGTAAAGTCTTTTTCTTGCCCGTTAGATTCTAAAAGTCTTTTTCTTGCCCGTCAGATCCTAAAAGAAAGTTATTTAAAAAAAATAAACAAAAAGCTGCTCGAAAGGATGTAGAAACAGCATTTGGGGTGCTTCAGTCTCGATGGGCAATTGTAAGAGGTCCTGATCGGTTTTGGTATAGAAAAAAAATGAAATTTGTTATGTTGACATGCATTATTCTACATAGAGATGTTAAACGGGCTAGCCCTAGCGGGCTTCGTGCTAAACGGTTCGGGCCTAAAAAGCCCGAATTTAAACGGGCTACCAATAAAAGGACCTAACCCTAACCCTAGCGGGCTTCGGACTAAACGGGCTAAGCGGGCTTTAATAATAATATTAATAATAGTAATAATAATAATAATGATGTATCAAAAAATATCAAAAATAAAAAGAAAAAATTATAAAAAATTACAACGACTAATTAACGATTGTTTTCAACGGTATTTAGTATTTGCCGTTCTATATATACAACTACACATCATATATGAACACATACTACAAACTCTTAAATAACATTTTTTTTTCAAAAGAAAAAAATATTCGAATTATTACTTACAATTACCATTTCA